GTAAAAATTTCTGTAGCGTCAGCAAAAGCAGCAGCAGCAGCAGCAGCTCCTTAAACAAGTTCTCTTCTTCTACTCTGGAGCTGCAGCCAAAGTTAAAGCTGGCTGGCGCATTCCTTCATACCGAACCGGGCACCGGGCACCGGTGACTCTCATATATGGAGTGCTTCGGGATGCCGCCAGCTTTGCCGATTTGGTGGTAGCTACCCTCGCTACCCCCGCTGCCTGCCCCACGTCACTTGGCTTCATGAGTTTTGCGGTGGTTTCGTTTACCAGCATACCAATTTGGTCGCTGCCTTAACACCTCCGAAACATGCAAGGATCGGAGACAGCTCGAGGAGCAGGAGCTGCAGAGAAGGGGAGCTGGCAATGCTCTACCATGGATTCCATGTCCATGTTTCATGTTTTATGCGCATAAAATGCATTTTAATTGTTGCATTTGAAGAAGTTAATGCCACGAACAGAGAGAGAGAGAGTGAAAGAGAGTGAGAGAGACAGAGAGAGAACTATAACATTTTCTCACGGTCAGTTACTTTGGGCGATTATGTAGTCGCCTTCATCGATTTTGGGCAATTTCATAATGTGGTCCAGCATCCACAACATGGCAATTAGCCACGCCCCAAAACGGCAGCTCCAAATAACAATTACATTTTACATGTTTATTAATAATCAGTAAATGGGAAGGGGCGCCCCATAGGCAAAGGCGAGTCGGTCCATTTGAGCAGCGACTGGAAGCTCACAGATAATTAAGTAGTTAAGTTAACTAAGACTAGACTCCATAGACCTTCCTACATACGCTCCCCATTCCCATCATTATCGACTCCATGTGGCCCTTGTTAGCTGTACTCGAAAGCAGTTAAGCCACTCAGTACTCAGTACCTTAACTCTTTAGCTTCGTCTTTGCACCTTTGCTGCTCCATGGCCCAGCCAAATGAAGCATTAAGTCGTGCAAACAAACCAGCGACAACAGCAACAACAAAACACTAACTAACTACAAACAGCAACAATGTTATATGCCGACTAAAGATAATAATGTAGAGGAACTACTAAATATGGGGTTTGCATCATTTACATAATAGCCAGGTCGAGCAATAGCTCTGCACGCTTGGCAGATGCGACATTTTGAACCTTTCAGATCTGTGGATAGGACATTTTAGGGTTAAATTATATTTGGCAGGGAGAACGTTAACAACCTGAAACTGCAAAGCGCTAAATAATATACTTATATAAGAGTTTACTCTATAGCTTACAAATATGTAAATATATGTAACTAAATAACTAAATATTACTTATATGTATGTGAAATAAATAAATATATGTAGCTGAAAATACTTCTAGTACTTTGCAATTGAAACTATAAAAATTATTTTATTTACAAACATAACGTAAATAAAACAAGTTGCACCAACCTTTCTATACAACTATTGCTGTCTGCATTTTAAAAGAAATTCAATTAAAATAATCTATATGACAGCTATCTATGAACCTAAAGCATTTCCATAGAACTCATTTTATAGCATTTCCTCAGCAGACACTATCTCAATATAAACACTCTCAAAACCTATAATTAATATACCTATACTGCATACCTATGCTATATTTAAAAATCTACTTATAAGAGTAATATATAAGAATTAAAATACTTTGGCTAGGAGGTACTCGAGAACTCAACTTAATAATCTCTCTAAAAAATTGTACTTTAGTGTACTTAAATAGATGAATATTGTAGAGCTTATAAATCTTTGATAAAATGCAAACTAAATTATTTTTATAAGTTCTTTTCAGTGTGTAATCTAACAGAATTAGAATTGTCAAATCTATTGCCAGTTGCAAGTGCAATCAAATTCTTCTGAAATGCTTGCCCACAACTTGCCATAATATTATATTAAAGAATCCACACATCGCATTGCTCTTATTCAAAATCTTTGCTGAAATATAACACCGAATCTTACAATGGTCAACAATGCAACATCTTTAGGAATTATTTCGCATAATGATGATATAGTGCCACATAGGCTGGCTGGCTGGCTGGATGGCCAGTTCGCTGTGGTACACAACTGTGGAATGCGGTTAGCAGCCGCAGCAATACAATGCAAAAAGGGCCCCAAAAGAGCAAGTGAGGCGGAGATACAGAAGGTGAGGAAGAGACAGGGGCCTGTGGCAGTGAATGAGAGGGCCATTTAGTTTTGGTCGCTGAAAAATGATTAATAGTCGTGTGCTTGGCCCTGGCAACCACGACGACGGCGCGACGTCGATGACGCGGAGAGGGACGGATGCAGTGCCGCAGTTGCAGCCTAAGTGGAGCAGCGGCGCTGTAAATTTCCTTTTGCCAAAGGTAGTTGCAGCGGCGAAGACAGAGGAGCAATGTCCAGAGGCAGTGGCAAGACCAACTGCAACAGCAAGGGAAGATGTTGCACTCAGCCCATGTTTGATTTTGTATCTCCGACTGTGAGAATGTTGAACGTATGTGAGTAAAGATATTTAGTTGGCTGCCGTTGTCTACTACGCTTTACCTCTCTCTCTCTCCCTCTATCTCTCTCTCTCTCTCTCTCTCTCTCTCTCTCTCTCTCTGCCTTTGGAATTACTTTTAACGATTTAATGTTTTGTGAACTGCTTAAATTGTGCAAACAATTTGAACTAAGTGCCACGAAGCGCTGCGGCAGGTGAGAAGGCAGCAGCAGCCAGATTGCAGGCGGTTGAACAAAAGCTTTTTTGTTGTTGTTGTTGTTTTTTGATGTTGTCTTTTGGGGCAACGTTCCAATGGCCACAGGAAGTGCAACTTTAATGAAGCGTTTAAGTGGCAGTTGTTGTACTTTCGGCTGTTGCTGTTGCTGTCGTCGGTGTTGTTGGTGTTGTTGTTGTTGGCATAAGAAAGGTGTTGTGCAGCTGTTGAATGTTCAATGTTCAATGATGCTGGCAGACTAAAGGGAATGTGCGACATGTGACCCGGGAATGGGAATGGAATTGTGAAGTGTTGCCTTAAATTAGGCAGAGACTCCACAAAGTTGCAGCTTATAGCTTCCCTCTCGATTGCTGCTTCTTCAGTTATTCGAGCTATGCTTCTATATGCGCTCTATTGCCAAAGGTGTAATTTAATAACTTGGCAACAATCTCAATAGCAGACACCTTCCCGTCTGCCCTTTGTCTTGGGCTTCTTTCCAATGGCCGCATGATTCATGCCTGCAATGCCTGGCCTCCTCCAACGCAACGCACACAAAGAAGGAAATAAAATTCCACGCAAATTAACTTGAAAACGAACAGAGCGATAAAAAATCCAAACTCTAAATAAGTCTACAAACAGTCGATGGGAAAAGGAATGGAAGGGACGGAAGGAACGGACAGAGCGAGACCGTCGTCGCTTGGATGCCTCCACTGTCCAGTCAGCAGCGAGTTTGGCGCATGCGTCGACTGCTCGGTGCTCAGTCGCCTGCCCCCTCCCTTCCCTGTGTGTGCACAGCAAAGAAAAAGGGTACCAGTTTCAAGACCAGTCCGCACCAGCGGCAGCCGCTACGAAAAGTCTCCCAAGAAATTCCTTTGGCGCAACAACAAAAAGAAGAAAAGAAAAAACAACAAAAATCAAAGAAATCTGTTTCGGAGGGGAGCGGAGCGGAGCAGAGCGACTGAAAAATGTTGTCACGCCGCTTTTACATACTGACCAACAACAGTTGTTCTCGTTCTGTTTGTTGTTGTTGCTTGGGCCTAGGCCAAGCTATGGATGGACGCGAGCTTCTTTTGTAGATTTTAGTTAATTTGTATAAAGCCTGAATTAATCACGCTTAATTGCAATAACTTGACCAGCCCAACGAGCGCGCTCTCTCTCTTTCTTTCTTTCTCTCTCTTTCTGCCTCTCCCTCTCGTTTGGTTGCTCTCTTCATTCTCACTGTTTCGTTTTGGTTTTTACGTTTATTTGATTTGTTTTCAGGTAAACTGTTGCAGCCTCTGCCTTTTGCTTGCCCACCCTTTTGCCCGTTCCACGCTGCTCTTTACCTGTCGCCGTGTTGCGTTGTTTATTTTTGGTTTTCAACGTTGCTTGATTGGTTTTTTTTTTTACTTTTGTTTGTGTGTTTTGTTTCTTTCCTCATCGCCGTTCTCAATGTTTCGTTATCTTTTGGTCAAATGCAACACGTTGCGTTGCGTTGCGTTTCGTTTCGTTCATAATTTCAAGGAATTGGACAAAGATAGGGAGAGAGAGAGAGGGAGAGCAAAGGAGAGACAGAGACGGAGAGTGAGCGAACAGGTAAGGACAAGCCCTACGATTGTAGTTGTTGTTGTTGCATTGATATTAATCAAGGTGTCATTGAAATCGTTTAAATTATGCACTCCAATCCAGTTCAGTCCACTCCAGGATTTTTTTCAATCTGTCGGCATTTGTGAACCTTTCTTTGTTTGCCTTCTCTCTTTCTCTCTCTATCTCTTGCTCTGTTCTTGGTTAGATAAGTTAGCCAGATACTGTGTTGCAGCCTCTTTTGTTGCGTGAGTCATAAATTTTATTGATTCTCTTCTTCTGCATTCTGCTGATAAGCGCCAGCGTTTAGATAAAGCTAAGGCCTTGCCTCAACCTGACTCGATTCGACTCGACTCGATTCTCTAACGTCGACAACAACAACAGCTTTTACAGCTTGTCTTCCCAGGTAGTCTGTAAGTAGGTTACTTAAGAGGCTGTGGGCACGGCCATGATAAGGGAATTGATAAGCAAATTGATGTCGTTTCAGCAAAGTTTCTAGACCAGCTGGGGCCATTAGGTTTCGGTTAGTTGTCCGATTTTGCAGCAGGATATCTCGCTGCTGCAATACTTTCTTTGTTCTTCCTATCAATTTGTGTTTCTAACCTTTTACAAACACCGATCTAATTTAATCGAAACATTTGGTTACATTTGACTGCTTTGGGCAGTTTCAGAAGGTTCTGCCTCTTGGTCTCTTTTTTTTTTTTTTTTTTGATTGTAGATTAAGAGAAACTTACTCTTTATTTATATCACATATACATTATTATACTTAAACACTTACCATTGCTGGGCTTTTGTGGTATTTCATTGGCATCGATGCCTCGCGCCTGGAAGATGTGCGAAACGGCGCTGCAGTTGGGGCTGAACTGATCGATTATCGAGGAGCCGCCAGCCACGCCGGCGGAGGAGGAGCTGCCCGGACCAGCAATTGGTCCAGGCGCTGCCAATGCGGCTATTTGGGCGCCACCTACGGAACTGGCCTCTTGTAGCTGGCCCTGTGTGGCTGTTGCTAGCAGCAACAAGAGCAAACTATTGAATATCACAAGGTAGGCGGCATTTGTTGTTCTTCTGCTACTGCGGTGCAGATGTTGTTGCAGATTTTTTTGTTGTCGTTGACAACTTTTCGACGCAAACATTTTGTTGCTGTTGGTGTTGCTGTTGCTTTGTTGTTTGTGTTGCTAGGCTTTGTCACAATCAATCACACACGTTTATCACACGACGCACAATCCATGAATTTTATGACGAAGCCGGCTTTTGCTCTTGGGGCTGTTGTTGGTGTCGTTGTTGTTGTTGATTTTATTGCACTTTACTCTACGCGGTACCGTAAATAAATTTCGCCACAACTTGAGCGAGAGTGAGAGACGGACAGGGAAGAGGGAGAGAGAGAGAGCGGCACACGCACTAATTTACAAAGACAAACGGCACACGGACAACGTAATGCATTACGTTGTTTATGCCGGCATTGCAGTTGCCTGCTGTTGTTTTTGTTGCTTTTGCTGCTGTTTCTTACTGTGCATTTTATGATGTGCAGGTGCAGCCGGTAATATGCTCTTTGGTTTCGTTAACAAAATGTATGAAGTATCAACAACAATTAATATAACACGCACAAAACACGCGCTCAGTCAGACTCTCACTCGCAGACGCACAGCACGCACACAACGAATCCGATGCGAAACGCAACACTAACAAAATACGTTCGTGCGGATCGAGCGCGGAAATTTGACTAAAACTAAAAAGAGAGCCACAACGCTTACATACTGTTAACGAACACTACATAATGCTTACCGAATGTTAAAGCTACGAAATGTTAATGCAAACACCTATGTTAGTGGTGCCTTCCACTGTTACGAAAACAATGCCACAAGTTGAGACATCTGTTGCCGAAAGTGACGTCACAAAATTACTTTAAATATTATTGCTTATTGAAATACAAATAAATATATTGAAACAAATGAACTAATTTTACTAAGCAAGTACCCTTCTTAAATAAAATTTCATATACGTTTTAACACAATTCTCTAGTTACCTTACCGTAAGTGAAAATATTGCTTAAAATGGTAAGCCAACTATAACTACATTAGCAGTAAGCAAGGTTAACTCATGAATTAAATATGCTTTAATTTTCCACAAATTTTAATGATTATTTTTATTTTATAGGACCTTTGCATCTCAGATGCAAACATACCAAGAACTAGTGTTTCTTCAACCCTGTCTGCTATTGTTGGCGGTTAATTTGAATTTTGCGGCAAGTGTTGCAAATATCGAATGTAATTGTTGTTGTTTATGTATTTATTGGATATAGTAATTAAATAGATAGTAATTACAATTTTATATGACTTAACTGTTCGTTCTTAGTTCAGTTATACATTTTCAGCTATAATTTTTAGGTTGCACTATATCGATGTAACTATTAGAATATCGTCTGTTACGCTTTTAAGCACCGCTTCTCCCATCGCTAACCCAGCTGTTTTGGCGGCATTCACGTTAGGATAATACGCAACAACTTCTCAGTTAAGCTTATTTATAATGTGCAGCTATTGTTAAGTTAAGTTTAGTTGGACTAAAGTATTATTATGACGGATAAAAGCGCATTAACTGAGGCATTGGAAAAGTTCTTTGGCCACAAATGCTTCAAATCAGAGCTGCAGGAACGAGCTATCACATGCGCTGTGAAAAGTAAGCACAAGGATATTCGTACCGGGCCTAGCTTAATGTATATGTGCTCTTGCAGAGAAAAAGGATGTTTATGTGTCGATGCCCACGGGATCGGGCAAATCGCTATGCTTCCAGCTGCCAGGCTTGATGTGCGAGAATCAGTTGACAATCGTTTTCTCCCCTCTGCTAGCATTGATCAAAGATCAGATCGACCACCTGGCCAAACTCAAGGTGCAGGCAGACTCGCTTAACTCCAAGATGAGTACCAAGGAGCGCGAACGTGTCATCATGGATTTGCGTGCTGTCAAGACCAAGATCAAATTTCTGTATATAACGCCGGAGCAAGCGGCCACCAAGTTCTTTCAGGAGCTACTCCACTCACTTTACAAACACAATAAGCTCGCATATTTTGCAGTGGACGAGGCACACTGCGTCTCCCAGTGGGGTCACGACTTTCGACCCGACTATCTAAAGCTTGGCGAGCTGCGGACCAAGTATCCAGACGTCGTTTGGTTAGCTCTGACAGCGACCGCTTCGAAGGAGGTGCGCGAGGATATTTATAAGCAGTTGCGGTTGCGCCAACCCGTGTCCCAATTTTGTACTCCCAGCTTCCGATCCAATCTCTACTACGATATTGTATACAAGAATTCCATTGAGGATGATTTTCAGCATTTGGCCACATTTGCAAAGCATTGCTTTGGCAATGAATCCGAGTTTAAGGCCATGCCTAAATCAAAGCGAGGTTGCGGCATCATATACTGTCGCACTCGAGATCAGGTGGAACGCGTCGCTGTGGGTGTCTCGAAGCAGGGTGTCGGTGCCGTGGCCTATCATGCTGGACTAAAGACAGCAGAGCGCACAGAGGTACAGGAGTCTTGGATGCGTGGGGATCAGCCCATCATTTGTGCAACCAATAGCTTTGGAATGGGTGTCGATAAGCCCAGCGTGCGCTTCGTTATCCACTGGGATGTGCCGCAAAATGTGGCCGCCTACTATCAGGAATCGGGTCGCGCAGGACGCGACGGCCTTCAATCGTTTTGCCGTCTTTACTATGGCCGCGAGGATGTACGCTCCATCCGCTTTCTCCTGCAAAACGATGTGCAGCGAGCTCGCGGTCGTGCGGATCGTGAGATGCTCACGGAACGCGCTTTACGTCAATTCGAGCGAATTGTAAATTTCTGTGAACAGATTCGCTGCCGACACAAACTATTTGCCGACTATTTTGGAGATCCCTCGCCCGCTTGCACGGCTCAGTGTGATGTGTGCAAGCGACCGAAGCAAGCGGAAAAGGCGCTCGAGACATTTCAGAAACTCTGCATGGATGCCACCTTCAAATCGGACATTTCATTGCAGGATTGCTCTGATCTTTACGAGGGTAAGTCTCATATCTAGCTTGACTGATTTGAAAGCCTTCTTTAAAATCTTTTGTCTTTTAGGTGGTCGAGCGGGCAGCAAGCGAGCAGCCCAAGATTATGCCAGTGCTGATTCGGACCAAGAGTCGGAGCAAAGTCACGCAGCTCAGGCAAAGCGGATGAAAAAGGAAACCGAAAACTTTATTCGCGAGCAGTTTAAGCTGCGGAAACAATTAAGCTCAGCGCGCCAGCTAGAACAAGAAACAAGCACGCAAATATCACGTGTGCAGCAGGCGCAATCGACGGAGACAAAAATCAGTGGACTACAGCATACGAGTCGAGAAAAATACCTGGACGCCATCATCGATGCACTGAAAGCGAATGTGCAGAAGTGTGAAAAGGAATCGGATCAGCAGCCACGCAGCGCCTTAAGGCACAATGACTATGAGGCCATGGCAGTGGAACTGGAATACGAAGTATTTCGGCAGCAGCGCGTTGCCAACATGTATCGACATGCCCTGGCCAAGCAGGTGAGTAGTCTAACTTGAGAAAGTGAAACTTCAGTCAATGACCATCTACGTCTTTTAGCTGGCGAGCATTAAACAACTAACTGCTAAGACAATGCTAATGCCGATGATTCTTGAATATGTGCCGCGACCGGAGACAAGCGCCAAGGGCGTCTGGACAGGTGGAAGTGTGGCCTATTTTGAACGCAAACTTAGGGATTTAGAGGAGCAGAAGCCACAGTCTATGAAGGAGACACCAAAAGCGCTGCGCGAGCGCAAAGGCTTCAAAGAGGATCAAGCCAAGCAAACATCAATTGCCAGTTTCTTTACCAAAGTCAAGCAAGAAGTTAAGGAGGACGAAATAGCAGTGAGTCCAACGGAACCTTCTGTCACTGTTAAAACAGAGCCAGCAGATGATGCTGACAATGGGCTACTGAAGGATGTGGAGGAGAATGACCGTAAAACAAGTACGGAATTGCCAGCTCTTGAAACAAAAGTAAAGCAGGAACAATTCAACGTTGCAGAAAGTCCGCTGAATGACAAACAGTTGGAACTCGAGTTTGGAGACAGAAAATATAGACTAATGTCAAATGGCGATGGTAGCTACGATACGCATCGAAAAGCGCGTGTTTCGCTCCTAGAACCAGTAACGGAAAAGAAGCCAGTAAAGCCTAAAGAGAACTTCAAATTGAACTTTAGCAAATTGGAAAGAGAAAAGAATGAAATCGAAGAGGAAATGGAAACGAGCATGGACTCAATAGAATTCACCACTGCTAAAAGAATGATGACAGAAACGAAGTCGGAACACGAGGTAGATAAGAAGCTGCCAGAACTAAAAAAAGAATCTTTGACACTTAACGGTGGCTTTCAGACTGCGAGACAATTGCTAGAGCAAAAAAACATGCAAGCGAAAATTAAAGAAGAGCCACAGTTAGAGGAGTCTAGCGACTTGAGAAAGAAGCAAGCATACATTAAAGATGAGCCACATTTGAAGAAGTCGAAGGAAATTAAGTCGCCGGTCTTACAGGAGAAGGCAAGAGATGACTCTCTCAAGGATAAGTCCTCTTCTCAGATGAAAAAAAAACCGCAAGTCAATCAGCAAAAGAACGATGTTAGCAAATCTGTGGTGCAGTGGCTAAATCCCTATTACAAGCGTAAAATAGCCACCAGGGAGCTGTTTAAGGCGCTTGCAAAACTCATCACGCAACGCATTTGCGACGGCAGCCTGGGTAAGGAATACACTCAAAGAAATTTGGGTCCAATTTGTAATTTTGTTTGTTTTTTTTCGTTTTAGGCAACGGCGATGTGTGCAAGTGTTACATTAAGGAAACATTTCACAGCCTCAAGATGATCGAGAATGATCAGGACATTGAGAAATACTTTACAATTTCTATTAAATGAGCAACATCGAATTTTGATACTGCCTTTGCCTATGTCCGCCAGCTCCTCGAAATGTTGTTATTAATATGTTATCAGTTATAGGAACTGTTTTTTGTTGTATGTCGTTAAACCTACTGTAAATATTGATAATCACTTTTAATCCTAATGGAAACAGCTTACAAAATTATCATTTCAAACGTTACAAATATCGCTTGGAAGCCAAGTTTAGATTTTAATGATCGGTTATAAGATCCTACAGCAAAATGCGCATGTTTAATTAAAAATACCTTTTTTGGAATCCTTAAAACAAAAACCGAATTAAAATTTTACAAATTTTCATTTTTTAATATTTGATCAGATGAAAGCATAATAATAATTAGCTTTATATTTATAGAGACTAGCTACCCAATAAACATTGTTATTTAAATGCAAATCCTGTGCTCTACATGAAAAATATATATTTATATATTCAAAACATATAACACAATCGAAGCTGAATATGCAATGAAAACAATTTTGCTATTTTAATTATTTTTCAAAAAATTTATTTGTTTTGTTACAAAAATATTCGGTGTAAAACTTATGTTAGATAGATTAGAAAAAACGTTTCGTGATTCGTATTCTAAGGGCTGTAAGCGACACTTTAACATTTATCAAAAAAACTTCCTACTCATGGGGATTTTGTACATTTTTTTCAATTGATGGCAATTATGATGTATATGGTACAGATATTCTGAACAATTAGCAGGGGTTGGGGCACCGCTTACGACTAAGCACTGTAAATATTACAGTCCAGTTAGACCAGAGTCTGGAAGAGTCGAGTGCGATGTCATTCCAGGTCTCCGTGCACGCCAAAGCGAATGGTGAGTAGCACATCCAGCAAATAGACCAAGGCGGTGACCAGCGAAATGGAAGCGGATGCCATTACCAGATCCAGGCGATGCATATTGGGATGCCAGTAGTTGCGATCCTTTGTGGTGCTCCAGTCACGGAACAGCAGCGCCGTCACAGCCACATACAGGACAAAGCCCAACAAGGACCAAAGCGTCGCAGTGCGCCAAGGCGTGCTATACAAATATTGTACACATCAATTTATATTGGTATATAGATATAGTATTTATATTACTTACAGATCTCCAAATAGAGCCATAATCAAATAGATTGCCGTGTAAATGGTCAATGCTCCAAAAGTCACATAACTAAGTGCCATGACCCTGGGTGTGATGAAGACTCGCAAGTGCGAGTTGGTGGCCGGCTCGTCGATCAGTCCCAGGCAACATATCAGCAGACACTGGCGAAAGGATTCGAATTCGAAATGCGTAATTATATAGATAAGAAAGAATTTAGCTACCCAACCCAGATTTGAAAAGAAAAACTTTATTCCAGGTTACCGTATGACAGAACCAACTAAAGAGTGCAACAGTCGGGAGTGCCCAACTAGAAGCTACCCTTTATTCTGCAGAGTTGCTATTTCAATAATTCTAAATTAACTTAACATTGAACACATGAATAATATAATAATCCAATCTGTGTATTCAACTTCAACAAATGATCGATTATCAGCAAGAAAAAGACAGGAATGCATATGGAGAGACAGACAGAAGGACATTGGTCAACCTGATTAAATTTAATATACTATTATACTATACTACATTATGCCTATATACTTTGTAGCATATTCACACATATTCTTCTAGACGTCCCATAAAATCAATGAGATCAGGATATAATTATAAAAACTCCAAGTCGATGGAACAAACAAGTCACCAACACAGATCAACTGGCGTTACTAACTTTACTATTTCCGTAGGGCTTAAGCATGCTGGAAATTGTTAATCTAATTTTGTGACTCAATGAAAATAGATAAGGCAACTGTCTATAACCAAATAACTGTGACATAATGAATGCATAATCGACTTCTGTTAGTTAATAAATGTTGATAAAAAGGCAAACATTGTTGTCTCCCTCCTTTCGACTATATGCATGTATGTATGGATATATATATGTCTTTAAAGACTAGTACTCACCAGCTCAACAACTTTGATGGTGATGATAGTGTAGGTTGCCTTCTTGCTGCCATTTGTTGTGGCAAAGGAATTGTCATCCGCCGGCGACATTTCGACGCGTGAGATTTCTGTGGGATGCAATTAGTCAATTAACTGATCAATTAATTAATGTTTTTTAATTGGAATTGGCTTGGAACAGTCGAGCCAAGTGCTCCATTTGGAGAGTATAGTCAGTACCTATGGAGCGCAAGTAACTCATCTTCCACTTTATTCTGGTATTTATTCGCACTGCCTACGATGGGGTATTTGAAGTTGTTCTTCGGTATCTATGGAGGTTAAGACGTAAGTGCCTTATTGGGCTCTGAGTTATTTGTTATTCTTTTTATTATTAACTCGAGTGCGCAGTGGAGCGTGTTAAATGCTACAAAAAACTGTGCTGAACATTCATGTCAATTGCTGTGGGGAAGGTCTCCCTCTCATAACTTCCAAATTGGGCTCTAATTGATTGCCTGTACCTAAAATTTCTAAGGGCAGCAAAATGATGTCATCTCTGGATATGCGTGGGTACAGCTCCAAGCGACTCCAGCAATAAAAATTAGCTGTGAACCAGATGAGTCAACAGGCTGGGCCGTTGTCTGTCTTTGCCTACAATGTGGAATTTACACACTCAATCAGATGGCTACAAGGAATACTAGGTATTCGAATACTAAATATTAACTGTCTCTGCATGAAAAATCTTTCGTTTTCATTGAGTACGGCACATTGGCTATGAACACTTAGAACCAAAGGCTAAGATTTTAAATATGTCTTGTTGTATATGGTCGTCTTGTAAAGTGTTCACAGTTTATGGAGCGACCACTAGAGGCGTAGAAATTCAGGAATTAATATATCGATTACAGCGATGACTCTACTAAAGACTAGAAAGTCTTGATAAAATGTGTAAGATATATGAATATTTACCTAATTTAAATAGAATATATAAGATTCTGGCTGTTATGCATTCTATTATGTTTTAAGTATTTAATAATTTATAAGAATGTTACATATCAAATTAAGGCTATTATAGCTTTCTTTCTTTTAAATATATAATTATAATTTTAAATTTATAACACTATGATAACCAATCTCTGCACCTGGATCTTGTTTGACCTCTGTTGCAAATAGACAAAGCCCATTGTACAATTGATTTCAGATAGAGATTGAGATGTTATTATTCAACCATTAAAGTCCATTTGCAGGGGAAAACATGTATTTCTCACATGGAAGCAGCAACTATAGTTCGATGTGATTTTTTACATTTAGATTTACATAGATGAAAAAGGTAAGTCTAGAATTTATTTCAATTATTTTATATATTCAATTTATTTTCTGCTGTGGGCGACGTGTTCAAAATCGGTGAAGCAACCCAAGTCACATATTTTCCACTCATAGTTGCAAATGTGTTTAATAAAACAAATAATCTAACAAATATTTTATTGATAATTTTTCAAAATTGGTTAAATAAAAAAATAACAAGTTTTCAGACTATTTCCACTTTTTTATTTAAATTTGACTTAGAAATCTGATTTATAGAGCATATTTTGAATATCATTATTTCATTCGGGCAGTCTGCCAATCAGTCAGATCAACACTTAAATGTATATCATTTCAAACAACTCCCTAACTGTTTTTTGTTAGTTGATGTGTCAACAATTACTGTTCAGCCAACAATGCGACACTTGGCCGAGCCAACACTTTTGCTGCTGTTGCTGTTCATGAAGAATATTTTACTGCATGGTTGAGTTATTCGGGGCATTCATTCATGCCTCATTGATTAAGACTAATTGCACTGGCAAAAGTCACGTACAATAAAAAATACCATAAACGAGGCACAGACTGGAGAATTACAGACGTAGTTGACCCGCTTCACCTACTCCCAACTATGCACAAAGTTATTGAAATGCAGACGGGAAAACCAGTAGTCGAAAAACCCAAATAAAACCTAAGGTGGGCCAAACTTTCGCTCGAAGGTGTGTGTAGGGGATAGATAAGGAGAGAGAGAGAGAGAGAGATGGTGGGAAGTGTGTAATTCTTTGTTAGTTAACATTAATTCGAAATACTAACAATTATTCTAGTGTCTAGGCTCGACAGTTGTGACAGTTGCGTGTTGTCAAAGAATTATGAATATGTAATATGACTTAAGGACTCGAAATAGTGGTGCACTAAATACCCTATAATTCAAATACTTTATTACAAATTGAACATACAGAAGAATGCAATCCTCAAAACGAGCTGAGCTCATACGATCCTAAAGTCTTTAAGTTTTTACATTCCTTACATTCCTTATAAGGTAGGTGAGGCTTCTTTAAATTCATAATTTTTTAAAATTAAAATATAAAAGATATACAAAATATATATACAACATAAATTTGTTACAGATTTCTTGAGATATTTATATTAAATGAGTTTAATATTAATATTGTATATATTTGAATATTTCTAAATCTCATAATGAATAACTGATATTTTATTGTTTATGATATTTCTTGTTCTTGCCAACTTTATTATGTCATTTCAGCATGAATCATGCAATGAAAATTGCGGCTAAGTTTTGGTAGCAGATTCCGAGACGAAATAATTGTCGTAATGCCTCGTAATTGAGGAAACGACACGACAACATTTTGCGTGTTGATGCTAACAAACTTCTCACGGTCCTCTTCTTCTTTTTTTGCCAAGCCAAACAAAAAACAAAGACCAAAACAATTTAGAAGAAAGCTTAAAAAAGAAAACAAACAAACAAAACAAGCGCTGAATAATGTAAACAAATCGCTTGACCAGTTCAACGGGTTTTGTGAGCAGCTTGGAGCAGAGAGAGACAGAGAGAGAGAGAGAGAGCAAGAGAGAGCGGGCGAGCGCAGGAGAGTGAGGCAGCCACACCTGTTTTGCGCTCGCGCAACCACAAAGCTGTCGCTGTCACTCTCGCGCACTTCCCACCGCTCTCAATGTGTGTATGCCCAATATTTCGACCGGCACTGTGCCTTAACCTCGTTTCGCTTTCTGTTGGCGGTATCCGCGCAAGGGCTTGGCGGGCAGCCCTCTAACTGGTCTGGCCTGGCCAGCTCTGCGTGGATTGGGTCATCGACTTGTGAGCAATGTTGCTGTTGTCGTCGTGGTCGTCGTTGTTGTTGTTGCTGTTATGTTTTTTGTTTTGCTAAGCCATTCTTGAGACGCTTCACTTTTATCTCGATCGCTTTGCGCAGCCTCTAAAAAAATTGCCATATTTTTAGTTCACTTTCCAATGCGCATCTAATGCTCTTTAAATAAATTCACAAAACGTCACAGAAACTGGTTTTTCATGTAAGTTTCGAACGTATGACACCCCCAACCTGCTTCTTGGTTGCATTAGCAATTGTCTCTCTCTCTCTCTCTGTCCCTCTCTAACTCTCTGTTTGGCTCAAGGGGCGTATTACATTGGCGCCTACTGTACCTAGCCAGGTTGTTGTTATTGTTATTGTCGCCTAAGGGCAAGCAGTGTAAACTGAGTTTGCGATTTGTTGACCTCATTCCTCAGTCTCAGTCAGAGCCACAGTCGCAGTCGTCAGCTCCCTCCCACACGTTAGCCGTTGTAATAGCTTTTGGGCTGGACATGCAATTTGTTATTCGATGCTTAGTTGTTGTTAACTTTTTCGTCGGTTGTTGAGTTAGTCGGTTGCCTAGGCAGCGCAATTGGCGAATTCAATGACACAGCTAAAGGAAGGTCAGTGTCAGCGAGTGTTAAATTGTGTTATTCCTTCAATTCCACAAACACTACAGCGAACAGTTAATGGCTACATCAAAAAGGTAGTAACTAGCAGAGTTTCATGTTGTTAACTAAAACTGAAAACTGGTTGCCACCAACTGAGCGATACTCGCTCGCAATTCAAGAGGCACTTAAGACGGGCAAGCATAAGATTTGCTTGAACATAAATGTTTACTATATAAATATAATAATAATATATTTTATAAGCATATATACTTTATACATATATATGTACATATCTTTATATATATATATATATATATATCTTTAGTAGTATGGATTGTTATGAAGACTAACTAAATTTGCATAGTCCCTGGTGCGAAATATATATGGGCATGTATAGCGATATAAATATAGATCTATGCAGAGAAATATGTAAGCTCATAAAGAAAACGTTCCTTTAAGAGACATATATATATAAATATATTTCTTTTTTAAAGTCAATTTCTAGACACATAATATAACTACTATGTTTTATCTATTTCCTAGATATTTAGATATAAATCTATGAAGCTAAATAGATAGTAAAATATATAGATACATATTATATATCGAAGATAGACATACACTTTAGAGGTCATTCTCTAGATATGCTTCACATAACTAATACTCTCTCTTAAAGATTGTCCATAGAGTAGTGCTTATACGAACCATTCAATGGTGGCTGAGCCGCTGTGACAACAAAAGCCCTAACAACTGTACAAAGTGTAGCATATGCATATATGTATAAATGCTCATATATATTTTAATATATTTGCTTGTATTTGCCGACTTAAGTAGTTCTCGAACAGAGCTTATAACTCGCAGTCAAAACACGCCCAAAATTAGTTTCCGTGAATCATAGAGCAAACAATTTGTTAGCTAGTTCTAATTATGCACAATTAGCACTACTCCAATAACAACAACAACACATCGTCACGCCCTTATTGTTGTCCTTGTTGTTGTTGTTATTGCTTGTTTACTGTACTGCAATAACAATTAGTTTTCGGGTGGGGCACAGCGAGAGCATCAGATCTTATAGATGAGAGCAACGATCTCCGGCTCTCTGAATCTGTCTCTGCCTCAGTCTCAGTCTTAGTCTCCGACTCAGACTCGCTTTGATAGTATTTGATGCACTTTTGCGTGTTACCACAAAGTTAGTTAAAACTATTTTTACATGTTTACAAATGTTTTTGGCTTTCAAAAACAGGTTTTCAATTCAGTTGTGTGTGAGTGTGTGTGTGTATGTATGTGTGTGTGAGTATTACAACATATTAGATATATACAGTTGCGTACATGGCTAATACTTATTAGAGGTGCAGAAAAGTGCAGCCAATTGATGCTGTTAACCAAAACTAAAACACGTTTACAGTGAGCCAACACTGAACACACACAGATACAGTCAGAACTTGAAGCGCGCAATTCAATTTCTATGTGTATACACAAATATTTTCTATTTCGATTCGTTATTCCTATAATCCGTTCAATCGGGAAAGTTTGAAACTGAAACCGACGACACGACAACGTCAACTGTTGTAGCTTACGTATAGCCCAAACCGTTCAGGCCCAAGCCCCAGCCCCATAGGCAGAGAGAGAGACTAAACCTAAGACACACATACAGCGAGACAGAGAGAGCGAGAGTGAGAGCCACGCGCAAGCACACACACACAGGCAGAGCGAGCAAGCGAGCATAATTGAAAAAGCTAAGAGAACAAGCGCTTGAAACATGTTTGGAAACTTCAAAGCTAACCAAAGTGTTAATAGCTGCACAAATTAAAAAAGTTAACTATGAAAATATATATATATGCCAACTATTTTTGAAATTGGTAAATAGTTAATTAACACCTTTTTCAATAGAATAGTTCAGTTATTATTAGGTTTGCTTGAAACAGATATTTAAAAAACTGCTAAAGGGGCCAGCACTGTAATGGGACTTAATCGTGTTTCAAACCAATGCAGAACGCACCTTGACTAATATATTAGACCACACTGATTTAGGGATGGTTGCGAACTATGCTAAATTCCCTTACATTGCTTCATATTTCCCCTATCAAATGCTAAGGAAATTTTTAATTTCCCATTTACAATTTTATTAAACAATTTAGTCAAGTTGCAAAGTATGACTTGGTCTGCCATACTTTTCCCAATAAGTATAAGATAAATACTTAAGGGAGTAATATCTGTTTCATCTGATATTTAATTAAATAAAATATTTTAAATTAAATACAAGTGCTGAATATTAACAAGCCTTAGCCGTATTAAAATGTCACACTCAAGCGTACCTTGACTAATATGTGAGCCGAATTGGCCACCAGTGTGACATATCAGATTAGACGGCACATCTTGACTAATGTGTACGACGACACATTAGTTATGGTTGCAAACTTTGATCAAGGAAAAAGTACTTTAGTTTTTATATCCTTTATCTACTGCAAACGACATTTGTAATGCCTTCTGCAATTCTGTGATTCATCGTCTAATATTTTCTATGGGAAAAAAGCTTTAAAATTTATTAAATATTTGTAATTTTTAGGAGTCATCGCGCGATGTAAATCTACTCTAAGCAACGTTTCAGAAATGAAAAACATCAGATTTGAAATCTCCAAAGGAATTATAAACACAGTTTAAAGTATTGACTTTATTTTTTCATAATTGTTTTTAACTCTCGTTTTTTATGATTTAACAAAAAATATACACAGCTAGAAAACTAGGAAATAGAAAACTTGAATAAATACATATTTGTTAACTGTACAGAGCATTACGAATTAGTTGTTTGTTTTTGTTTTTGTTGTTGTTTTTATACATATTACATTAGGTGCCACCTCAATATTGAAACAACAAAACTTAAATACAGTCTTTCCGTTTACAGGCCACAAAAATAATTGCCGCTACTTAAGAGAAACAATAACTAGCTACAACAACACAATGGAACGTATAGGGAACAGCTACGAGTCGGGTAGCTATAGTTCCTATAGATATATAAATGAACTCTACTTTCTAGATATTTTTTGTATATACAGTTTGGTGTGTTCTTTTGTCACATATCTGGGTTATACTTTAATATATATATATATATTTCTATTTTGTATTTTTCTCATTTATGAAAGGCACTCGCATATTGGAGATTTGGTGATAAAACTAAAGCATACTTTTTGGCTGCTGTGTTAAATGCGTATGCCTGACAGAAGCTGAATGATATTTGACGAACCCAATAAGTTATGGGAACATATTTAATTTGCTGTGGGAGAATAACTGTATTCGATCCATACGATTTTTGGTTTTAAGGAAAGTTTTTTTAAAACTCTTGAGCTCCAATTCACAAGCGCCTTTATAAACAAGTGTTTTGCCTTCGGGGTTTACTTGCTATACAAACGCCTCTAATCAATAGGTTTCATAACTCGCGGTCACGCAGCCTTAAGCTCAGCGGCGTTTTGGGTGCTAGGAGGAATTCAAATTCCGTTTCCAGCGGCTTCACGAAGCTCACTTCGAATGCCAATACAAGCTAAGGATTGAAGGGTTATAACTATTAGATACATAAGGACATATATTATTTATGAGCTAACCTTGGCAAGCAGCAGCACCACCTCCATTTCGACGAAACGCTTGCCGGGACACGTGCGTCGTCCGACACCAAAGGGCACCACAATGCTGGCACTGTCCACGTTCACTGTGAAGTTACCTGAGCTGGAATCGATCCAGCGCTCGGGGCAAAACTGCTTGGCCTCTTGAAAGTTGGTGTCCTTGTGGCAGGCGATCATATTCTGGCACAGCACCACCGTCTAGATCAAAGTAGTGTTAAGAAAGACCTGTGTTTAGAGACTACGGTTTGCATACGGCTTCAATATGGGCGTTGAATACTCACGCCCGCATTCAAGGAGTAGCCGGAGAGCTCCATGTCCTCTTCAAGGATGCGTGCCAGGCAGAAGGCGGTCGGTCTAAGCCTATACGATTCCTGAATGCACGCCTTGGTGTAAGTGGCATTTGTCAGAGCGTCCTGCAGAATGTTCGTGTCACGATACTCACGAAACTCGTCGTATATACGCGGCATAGCTGAGCCCTTACCCTCTGTCACTGAGCTGAGTACAAAGAGTAAGGTGTTGGCTAACTAGAAAGAGAGAAACGAAGTGGGTTCAATTCTCATCTCATTTTATCTCCTCTGTTCGCTTCTCTTATCATGTCTCTTCTCTTCTCGGTTGTCTCTTACCGTTTCAATACCCGCGGCTATAAAGTCAATTATGGCCGACTTCTTGTCCCGTATGTCCAGCTCCTTCAGCTCGAGTATATTAAGGAATACGCTGCGTAGGCCGGCTACATCTTCATCCTCGCAGGCCGCCGACTTCTTGTGCTCCTCCAGCTCGTTGTCGATGATCTCCGAGATGACACTGTAAAAATGCATTAGTCATGGCTGCGATGCTAGCTGCCACATGTCGTATTCTTATACCTACTCATAGATCAAGTCTTCGGCTCGCGCGAACTCCCGATATGTCTTCGTGGGAAAGTATTTCCAGAGTCCGAGGCCGTAGTACGAATCGCGCTGAGAGATAAATAGCTGCTTGACGGCCGCCGCAAGTTGGCTGATCTTCTCCGGCTGGGTGGCATTGACGCTCAGAAAACCCATTCGCCTGCCCAGCATCAGGGTACAAACAGCTTCCAGACCCATCAGATTCGCCAGCTCCTCGAAGTTAGCCACGATCTGAGTCTGGGGGTCTCGTTTGGCGCGCAGCAGCTCGACGAAATCATCACAGACGGCGTTCAAGGCGGGCAGAAAGTTCTGCAGGATGCGCGGCGAGGTGATGCTGGAGGTGAGAGAGGACCGCAAGCGATGCCACATGGGTCCCTGCTCGTTGACGATGCCAACACTCGCATAGCGATCGGGTCTCGATTGCCGATACATCACAATGATTTCGGTTGGCGGGCGAAAGGGATATTTGCTGGGATACTTGAGCACCTTATCCAGATCCTCGCGCTTGTACAGATGCACGATGGGCACGTTCGAGGGCATCACCTCGAGCACAATGTCGCCGTACTGACGGTTCAGATCTATGAGAGAGAGAGACAAAGAGATCGAGAGAGAAGAAGAGAGACTATTGGCATGTGCTGTAGTATGCAGTGAGAGTCTTTCACCTGCGTAGACCTCATGCAGCTTTGTCATTTTGTAGCGCCGAAAGAAGATGAGGAATATCCATTTGGTGCCCAAAAAAGGGATACGCTGCGGTCCAGGTATGTCCCAGATGCTGCGCCGCTTCCTCTGCTCGATGGGCGTCGCATGATAACAATCCTCGAGCGGCGTATTCTTCAGCAGCGGCTTCAAATAAATCGCACTGATCTTTTGCCTATGGATCGCGCAGTAGCAACCGAGTACAAGTGCCAGGGCGAGCAACAGTATCACGGCCATTACCATTGGACGCTATAAAGAGGGGAGTTGTGGACGGGGATAGGGTTTACTTGACGTATTCAAATTTTCATATATACTTTGTATATTTTATGCAAATTTTCTCAACTGAAACTTCAAACACTTAAGCTGATCAACTTTTAATTGATTTCATGTACAGCACACAAAGCAAACCGGTCCCTGGCCTTAACTCAAATGTTGCTTTAATTAGAAATTGGCACCTAGATTCGCTAATCATTGATTTTGCATTGTGTTTGGGTGTATCTGATAAGAACATTTTTGGCTTAACTCTTTTGTTTCGTCGCACTGATAAGATAAAGCCAGTTCAAGGTTAAGTAAAAAACCTAAGACACTGTGACTTGCGAAAAGAACAATTGGGCAATCGAGCAAAAAAATAGATAAGAACGTTGAGCTCGGGTACAACTGACTGAATAATACTCGTTCATGGAAAATAAAAATTTTAATTGTGTCTCTTTTCTCAATGCAGCTTAGATATCTGTGGAGTAGCTTAGCAACTGTGTCTGCTGTGAAGCTGATATCAACAATAACCAAAATGCAAAACATTAAGGCTGCAGCTGAAGAGCAGAGAAAGATAATCTTAGCCTTTGCCACCCAAATAATCTATTTAATAAATCTTAACACTACCAGATTGTATCGTTTTTAATGTCCTCTAACTCGACTTATACTCTTACTATAATATTATTATTCAAGAATAACTATTTTAACTACATAAACGAAAGTCTTGCGCAATCAAGAAATAATATATTCTGTATATTAAAAATAATATATATATATATATATATATATATATATATATATATATATATATATATATATATATATATATATATATATATATATATATATATATATATATATATATATTTATTTATTTATAAGTATATATAAATAAAGTAAAATATTTTACTCAAGCCACTCCTGTTTCTACAGGCGAAAGCACTTTCTAGTACTAAATTATTATTGTTGCGTATCACGTTTATGAATTATTTTTAACTTGCGAAATAGGCAAAAATACATATGTATGTATATATAGCTATATATGAACGTATTTTTATACCTTATACATTATTAAGACGTCATTGCTCTAAGCTGTCGTAAACAAAACCCGAAAAAGAAGAAGTCGAAGTTTTATTTGCGCATTGGACTATTGCGTTGTGTTGTTGGTGTAGAGAAATACTTGATAGAAATTGTGAAATTCGAATTCAACCAAAACAAAGCCGAGCGCAGAAGAACTGAGAGTAAGGAACGAAAACTTTCCCATCGTCTCGGCTTACATAATAAATTACATAATATGCTTTCTAATGTCGCATTCTGGCTGGTCGATGCTTTTTTCTCTTGTTGACTTGGTGCCTGCGGCTAGGTTGCTTCTGAGCCGGTTTTTACAGCCGACCTGTGGAACGGGGGTTTCTAACGCGGCTCTAACGACGACAGCCAGCACGCGAAGACATTCACTCGTTCGATGCCGACTCGACTCGATCTATCTATGTATCTGCATATTAATCATGGGGCCGCCAGTCGACGAGACGAGATCTGTGCTTAGAAGAATTCGCAAGAATTCTTATTAAAAAGCGAGTTTTTTCATCCACTACTACTACTACTATGGCTAGCTGCTTGGAAAAGTGAGAAGCGCTTAGAACGGTGCACGCGTCGCCCCAGAGATGAGGAAGTGATTAACAGCAAAGAAGGAAGTGCTGAACTGGCTATGATTTCTATTTCTTGTGTTTCCACTTTTCGCAAGCCACAACCATCTACAAAGGCAATTGAATTGACGATCGACTCCAAGAAGAACCTCTATTTGAAAGCGAGTTGGCGACATTCAGCCACAGCCCAAAGTCACGTAGATACTCCAAATATATCTCTAAGTCTAATTCGAAATTTCATTATCTTGATTTCTTCGCAAATACATTGTACACTTGGTGTCTATTTGATATAAGCTGTATGAGTGTGTGTGAGCTGGACAAACATCAGTGGGCCAGGTATCTGCTGTTTATGACCGATTGATCATTTTCAATATATACCTTTGAGAGCACACAAGATAATTATGTTAGGCAATCAAAACTGTGAAGCACTTCCCCTGGTTAAGATCTTTCAAATTCTAAATGTAATTTGGAACACGTCTACATGTATTCAAAATATATTTAAGAATAAATGCTATATATCAAGATCAATTTTAAATTTTGGAAAAATCTCAAAATAAATTATAAATTATAAAAAGTCTATAAAATATCTGTTTATAAGTAATTAATTCAAAGATTAGTGAAAATATTTTTTAAAGTCATTTTCATATGCTTCATGTAAATGAAAAAGATTTATTAGAACTCAAGCCAAGCAAAGGCTTTGAAGAGTATTTGATTGCGGTAGCACTGTGAGTGGTTCTAATTATTCAGCAAGTTTTCAAGCAGTTTTGTATGTCTCACAGCCCACTGTATGGGTCGCACGCCCGTCTCAGAGCTCCACGCGAGCTGTGGCATTCCTTAGCTTAATTTGTTGATCATTTTTCAGCTTTCTTCACTTGTATTTCTTCCTTGGTATTACCTTACAGCTTTCGACGAATGCTTTCCCAAAAACAAACAACAAACCCCAAAAAACTCAAACAAACAAAAAACAATATAAAAATGTAAATAATTTCGACAAATTCAGCAAATTAGTTCGCATTGAACTGATTCCTGTGGCGTCTGGCTGTCCAAGTCCAAGTGCAACTGCAAATTAATGTTGACACCTACATAAAATTATTCAGCAATTGCTTAGTTACTTTGTAAAAAATATAAAAATCTCGTACTTATACAAGGCGACCTGCAAACGTAGCTAAAATGTGCCACAAAAAAGCAGTTTAAAAAAATTAAAAAAAAAAAATTTAATATGAAAAAGTGTTCTACCAATTAGCCGATATTTTGTCGTTGTTTATTTTGCGAAATAAACAAGTTTGTGTTTTCATCAGAATTTACATAAAGTTTTGAACATATTCTTGGCTATTTTTTTATTGGCACATTTTTCACAATTTATGCAAATCAACCGAATCAAAAATAAGATATATATATATATATATATAAATATAAATATATATAAACAAAATAAAAGAAGAATAAAAGCCACGCGATTCGCTGCGCAGTTACAGAAGAAGAAACCTCAGCTCAAAGCGTAGAACGCTCAACATCAGCAGATTATGTCACTACCGACTGACCATATAACATTGCACACGCAACGGAACCCAAACGATCCGATGGTTCGTTCATGGTCACGGCCAAGTCTCAAGCCTCAAGCGACAAACAGCCAACAGGCAAGCCAGCAGCAGCAGCAGCAGCAGCAGCAGCCAACTGGCTAGGCAGCGGACTAACAATTTTTCGCGCATAGCATTTGTCAGCTGACGGTGTGAGAAAGAGAGAGAGAGAGAAAGCAAGAGAAAGAGAGGGAAACAGAGTAGGAGATAGGCCCCAACACATTAGCTAAGCCCTGTCCGACGTTTGGCTAAGTTCAATGTACGGCCAACGACGCGCATGAAAACAACTGAACAGCTGAATAGAGGAGTCTGTAGACAACCTCCACCTACCTGCCTAACCAAACCAAACTCACCTGCCCACCTGACCACCTGCCCACCTTGCCACCTTTCCATGGTTTTGAATCGTAATAGAGAGAAATAGAGAAATTTCGCATTAGATTATTGCAGAAGCGCTAAGGCCTCGACCAAACTAGCTTTGGGCTTTGCTGTTGTTGTTGCTGTTGTTGTTGGCTTCGCCGTTGGCTTTGTGAATTATTCAATACCTGGAGAATCGTTAGAAGTGAAGTGTAAGAACCTCAAAGGGCACTCCTAAAAATTCTTAGAATAACACGGATCGTGCAACAACAAAATCAAAAAACTTAACAAATTATTGAACTGCATGAATTGGAGTTCCCTTTATACATATAAATAAATATATATATATATATATATATTTATGTTTATTAGATGTGCTTATATAAACAAATGTATGCCATAAGTTCAAGCAATCAAACGGCAAATTTATTTTTACAAATTTCACTTGAATTTAAGTTGAGATCATTAAAAATTTGGTATGCGCGTTTACAGCCCATATCTTATACTCGAAAATTACATTTCAGATCAAAGTTAAAAAACCATATATATCATTGCCCTGAAAAGTGGCGGTCAATGCACGTTATTTAAAACACACAAAAAGAGAGAAACAAACGATTTTTAAAAATAAAAAACAAGGAGTGACTGGTGATCACTTTGAAAATGTAAAATGTAAAATTATTTTGCTGTGATTATAGCAAATCGGGCTAACAACAAAAGGCAAATATCAATTACACAATTTTGTTAACGATGATAATGAACTTGAGGCGTACATTTATATACATATTATTTGATGACAAAAGAGAATTATTTCTATACGAAATCTGCGTGCTACTACTGTCTGCTAAATAATAATGAGTAATTCATTAATAAATAAACAAAAATCAGTTGCAGCCGAAACGAATTCGCACTCAGAGCGCCCCAAGCCCCAGTCGATAAGCAGGAGCAAGAGCAACAGCCGTGAGTAGAGCCGAGAAGCTAATTGTTGTTTAATGTTTGCCAAAGTAATATAAATATTTATATACATATAATGCAGTAATATTTTTATATGTTTTCTGATTTCATTTGGATGTGGCATATATTTAATAATAAACTGCTTTTGATTGTGAAACTTTTACACTTGAAGAAAAGCCTGGGTATAGTTATTCAGCTAAGGCAACCCCAGAAATTGTGTGTATATTATTATATAAAATACAGCAAGCATATAGATCAGATTTGTCCAAGAAATCCATATACTTTTTTGTGCAAACTTCGACCTTGACCCATTTGATCTGTGGGTGCCTAAGCCAAAGTAGGCCACAATCCCTACTAAGACAACTCACTTATTATATTCAGCCTTTGTTTAGGACTTTTCTTAGAAATTTGTTTGATACAAATTTTAAACTTCAATTTATTTTAATATTTATTTTGTTTATATTTTTTTTTTAATAATTTTAAATATTTTATTTTTGCCAACTTACCTTATTTTTGTATTATTGGTTTGAAATCCAAGCGAAGATCCGTTATGTCGTTATTAATATATTTTTAGTTAGCATTTTAGGCATTTTTCACTAAGTTAACTTAATTTTTTTATTTATTTACTGACAAACATATTGCACTGCATAACACATGCATGCATGTATGTATGTATGTATGTATGTTTGTATGTATGTAAGACTATTATCACTAACCGGCATTTGAATTGGTTTTCAATTATAATATATATAAAGAACTAATTGATATTTTCTTTTTTCTAGAATATTTTATAAATATTTTAGCTATATTGCACATTGATAATATATTTTTTGATTATTAAAGCTCTTTATTGCTGCATATTTTCCTCGATCTGCGATCTCTCTCGTCCTCTCTCTGGCTCTCCCCTGTCTCTCTCCCTCTCTTCCCCTTTCTAATCAAAATCAGAAGCTCCGCTCCGTTGTGATTGCTGTTGCTGTTGGTAATGTTGTTCTCGTCATGGTTCCGAAAACAATAGAATATGCTCAACTTGATTTTTAATCACATCCAGACATTGCACTTTTGCACTCGTACTGGGGATTCGTAATTGCTGACTGCCTATTGTTGTGTGTTGTTGTGGTATGTGTGTGTGTGCGTGTGTGTAATCAAAACTGCATCCGTATCCGTTCAATAGAAATATTCGGATTTATATTAATATATAAACATAGACGTGTGCGTTTCTCTTAGCGCTGTCCAAGCCCGAGCCACGAAACCGGAGGAATCAACAGAACAGAACAGAACAGAACAGAGCAGAACAGAATCAGAATCCGATTCAGAATCCGAAACAGTAGCCGTAACCACAGTGCCCGCTGCGATGACAACTGCGACGCTTAGTCAAAGACTGACTGAATATGAATGGGCATGAATGTTGAGTCCACGGTCTACGACAGCGACGAGCACGATGTACGATCGTTTGAGTGCCTCGGCAATGCGATCGCCGCGAGCGGCTCTTCCAACTGATTTAATAACCATGCGATACAACAGCAACAGCAACAACAAAAGCAATGAGAGCGGCGGCAGCAGCAACAGCAACAACAGATGCAACAAGTGGCTACGATTCGGATCGATCGTGTTGATCGTGCAATCAACGAGCGTACGATCGATTGACCGACCGACCAGCTGTTCGAATCCGTTTTGTGTGAGTAAGGCAAGGTTCTGTCACTATGTAGTGTGCGTGAGTGCGTGTGTGTGTGTGTATGTGTGTGTGTGTCAGTATCAGTGTGTGTGTGGGGTCTGGTCTCCCGGCAGGCGATGCCGCATGATATGATAGCATCGTGTCTGAACCATGTTGCCTACACTCTCTCACGCTCGCAGCAGACTGCCAGACTGACAGACTCGCTTGCTCTCTCGCTCTCGTGCGCTCTCGCTCTCTTTGCGGCACTTCGCGCTCTCCCGCTGATAAGAGGACAACAACAACAACAAGAGGCGCTGTCGTTTGACTTCTCGCTTGCTGTTTGTGTTTGTTTCTGTGTGTGTATGTGTGTGTGTGTATTTTTCTTCTTGTTATTTTTTTGCATACAAAAGCTCAATGAAAGTTTGCTAAGAAACAATGGAAGCCAAGGCGATTTGCTGCTGTTGTTGCTCTTGCTGAGTGGCTTATTGAAATGTTTACATTGAGAGCTGCATTTATGCAACACATTGGCAGGCAGCAGCAGTAGCAACAGCAGCTACCTCAATGCGTGGCCGCGTGCGCTGCTTGGAGTTGCCTCTCAGCAAGCAGCTTGGCGTGAGGTAGGTTGACTGTAACTGCGACTGCGGCTGCGACTGCGGCTGCGACTGCGGCTGCGACTGCGACTGCGACAGCGACTGAGACTACACCAACTGCATACACAACTGGTTCGTATAGGCAGCCGAATCAGCTGTGCCTCGTCTGTCCGTCCGTCTAGATGTCTAACCAGCTACAACAATGTTGCCGCCTGGTGGCTGGGATTTGTGCGTGTGAGCGTTGCGAGCGGCAGGAGACGGAGCTGGAGCTGGATCGTCAATTATATACGGAGCTGATGAATTCCGCGAGGGCGACGGGGCTTGGAGCGAACGAGTGTGAGTGAGCGCTAATTGTCTTGATTGAGTTTTAAATTAATGCGAATTTGAGTTGTGTGTTTGTATGTTGTTGTTGTTGTTGCTGTTGTTGGTGTTGACACTGCTGCTGTTGCTGCAGTTGTGTTTTAAGTCACATTCAAGCTTGTTCAAACACAAAAATACGCAAATAAACCGTTGAACTAGCAATCATTTAATAGACCCTACGCAGGGAATAAAGTCGCTTGTGAACAGCTTGAGTTGGGCAGAGTCTGGACTAAGCCATACTCAATATATATTATTTATTACAGAATGCCAACATTCAGTGACTTAAGTGCCTACCATGTTTAGCTTTATTGACTTCCCAAGTAGCTCACACGCTGCCATGCCTGCCTGAGCTTGTATCATATTGTTGATCCTGTTGATCGACTGATGGCTAAGCAATGCATTCAGCTTGTGATTATGTCTCATGAATGAGTGATTGAATGAATGAATGAATGAATGAAGGAACGAATGAATGATTGAGTGAATGCAAGCTCATGGCTCATGGCTCATGGCTTTGCATTATTAATTAACTCGACGGACTGAGCTGGCTGCTACTGCTTCCCTTCGTAAATCCACCAGCCATTATGCCATACCAGACTGCCTGCCTGCTGCTGGCTGCTGGCTTCCTCGTCTTGTCTTGTCTCGTCTTCATTTCGGTCTGTCTTGGCTCGGTCGGTAAGTCAATCAAAGGCAAAAACAAAAGGCAATGCTGTTAATACTTCTTTTTTTCAATTAGTTGTGTACGCAACACACACACTCACACACAGAGACATGCTTACACACACACAGTGAAACACAACAACTACAATTAACAACAACAAGCAACAAGCCTCTTTTCCAACGAACAGGTTTCTCACGCGCTGCGGAGGACGCCAACGTTCTATGCCTTTTGGTGTGTATTTTCAAGATTTTCATTTGAATTTTCATTTTACGACAAGTTTCTTCCTGAGGTGCTTAAAACTTTTTTCCTTCACCACATCTAATATTCTGAAATGCTTCTCGATCGAGTCACACTGTGTCGCTTAATATGTAAATGATGAGGATGATGATGATGGCTGCCCGAGTTGCCGTCAGACACAAAGTTCTTTTCAACACTTTCGGCTCACTTCATTTTATGGACTAAAGCGTAAGACTTGGATCGGGTTTTGCGCTGACTCCGCCGCTGCAGCGCTTGGCACACACAGCAATTGCAATTGGGGAGCTGCCTTTGATGGAGCCTCAGCTCCGCTTGCTGCCGTGTCAGTCTCAGTCCCAGTTGCACTCTGCAGCCACAGCCACATCCACAGCTACAGCCACAGCTACAGCTTGAGCGTTCCCTTAACATTTAATGAGCATTAACAAGCTGCACTTAAATGCAATAACAACAACAATTGATAACAAGCAAGAATGCTCCATTTGAAGAAGAGAGAATGAAGCTGGCAAATGAGTTTAGACGATCAGCTGGTGCCCTGCCCGCAATGCCAATGCCAATGCCAATACCAACTTCGCTCTTCTTTGCGATTCTCAGAATGACAAAGTAAGTAATACTAGGAAACCAAGTTTATCTTTAGCTTTATCTATGAGGGAGATACAAGTTTTCGTTAAAGCTATTTTGAACTGATTTAAATATTGCAAAAGCTTGCTTACAATTGAGAGCTCGTTTAAATTTAAATCGATAAGTTATCGATTTTTCATTATCATTATTCCAATATAAAGCAGGTAAAGAGTTCTAGGACGTACTTACCCACATAATGAGCGTGCAGGGTGCACTGCAGCAGCTACTCACAATCAGCTCCACGCTGTCTGAGTGCACGAGCATAAATAGTCGTAGTAGCCGTAATGCGGTATATTCGTATGTCATCGTGTTCATGTGAGTGTTTCGCTTGATTAACACGAGCTGCAAATTCATTTTGCCTTGTTGTCTTCCTCTGTTTTATTGTAAGTGTAAGTGGGCTGGACATTGCGTCTCGGCATCCTCCACAGCTCATCAGCGTCACAGAGAGCCGAGAGTGGAGAGCAGAGTGCCAAGAGCCCAGAGCCTGCTCTGCGAGCTGTACTGTGCCAGTTATAAGCGGTAAATCGATGCTGAGGGCCATCTTCTGTATGTGTATGTGACCCAATGATCTATAAAGGGTGCGGGCAGCGGCTCTAAGAGTTGATAAGAAAAGCGAAAATCCATCAGCGCAGCGATTACTTCAGAATACGAATCGGAACATAATCTACTATTACAAGACCCTACATACAGACAGACATATATAGCTACTCATTCATTGAAGCACACACACACACACACACAGAGAGAATAAATGCATGCCCCTCTCCACATACGGATTCCCATTCATTTCCATATATATTGCGCGATGTCGTCGTCGTAGTCGATTTGCTTGTCCTTGAACTTGACCCAGCAGCGCTGGCGAGCGGCCCTTTATTTATTATTATTGTATATTATACAAGTGTACACTTTTATACTATAATTAATAAATTGAAGTCTGTGTGGATCACTCTCTCTCTCTCTCTCTCTCTCTGTCTATCTCCGTCTCTCTTTCTTGGAGTAGCTACTTATCTTTTAAGTGCTGCTGTGCGCTGCTTGTCACTCGCCTGTTTCTTCAGTCTCTGATTTTTTATTCATTTTTTTCTTTTTGCGTATTAAACAAATTTTTCTGACACTCAACATGTTGATCTCTTGCACTTTGGACTGATAACACTTGGAATTTTTAACAAAATATTGCATTTTTATTTTTATACTGAGTATCCACTGAAAATTGATAATTAAATCAGCGAATATGTGCTGTGGCTGTTAATGAAAGTAATTCTTGAAAGTACTCATACTGTTATCACAGAATTTAAGTCAGATAGCAGATTTAGATCGGCTATTAAAATGTTTCATATCATTTGTATACCTTTTCTTACTCAAAGGCTTTGTATCTTCGCATACTTGTCATTGTTATTGTCTTAGCTGTGTTTATTTTGACCAAAAATTAAATTTAATTAGCCCTGGTAAATGAGCTCTTTTAATGCATTCACCTCCACTCTAGGAATTAAACGTAGTTTCTCCTTGTTCAAAAGTCTAAATAATAAATATATCCTCGATATATGAGGCTTTCTCTTCTATTATAAGCTTAGCTAGCTAAGTGG